CCCACTGAGATGCAGTGCTGGAGGGTCTGGGCTTGGAAGCCATCCATCTGGCCAGAGGGGCTGAGTGCGAGCCCCCCCCCCCGCCCCCAGGGAGCAGTGATTTCCCACTGTGACTGCCGTGGACTTGAGGCCATATGAAGAGGCCCTCTGGTCTGAGAGGTGGGCATGCAGTGGAATAGCCATGACCCTGGTGTCCCCTCTGCCGTGTATGGTGGAAGGGATGTGGTCAGGCTGACGGGCCAGTGGAAGTCTGTCCTGCCCTGTCTGTCTTTCCACAGTAGGGCCTGGCTGAGTTTATGGGTGCGGGCGGGACTGCAGCTGTACTGCCATCGTGTGGGTTCAGGTAGCACTGTGACTCCGTGGAAGGGGCAGGACCTCCGCAGGGCTCCAGGGAAGGCTGACTTGCTGCCCCGCCCGGGTCCCTGCAGGTTCCTGCCACCCGAGGCCTGGCCTGCTTCCCTTGGCGGGCCATCTCGCTGGAGCATCCCCGACTGGGAGGTGCCGAGTGGTCACCCTAGACCCCGACACACCCACGGTGATGGGAGAGGCCAGGCCAGCACAGGCTTGCTGCCCCACACGGTGCAGGCAGCTGTATGGGAGGAGCAGGTGAGGTGGGGTTTGAACAAGCGTCGGGATCCGAAGGGGGAGCAGAGGGGGGCTGTGAGGGAGTGGTTTCTGTTTCTTTCCCTGGCACCCTCTTTCTCAGCTTTGGCTCTCCTGTTGGTTTCAGCGTCTGACCCTAACCTGTCTGTAGTTTCTTTTTTAGATCCGAAAGTACCTTCAAAAAGGTTGTAGAAGGCTCCCAGAACTTTCCTGTGGTGTACTTTAAAGGACCGGGGATTTTCCTGCATTTCCAGGCTCTTGCAGCCAGTTCCCTGTCACCCATGGGAAGGGCTCAGGGTGCCGCCCAGGCCTGCCTCACCTGCCGTAACGGGGGCCTCCCCACTGAGCCCTTGCCGCAGGGTGCCTCACTGTTAGGGACTCCGGCGTGTGGTTCAGAAATAACGGGGCCTGTGCTCCAGAGTCTCCCCAGGTGCTCAGGGGCCCGCATGGTGGGCGAGCAGCTTCCTCCCCCCAGGACGGTGCTCTCTCAGTGCTCCAGGTCCTTGGTGCTCCTCTCAACTCTGGAGGCACATTCTGTCTGGGAGCATCAGGACCGCACTTGTCCCTGTGCCCTTGGTGGGGAGCAGGGACGTCAGAGGAGGGGCAGTAGGAAAGGGACTCGCGGGGGCCTGCTTTCAGGGTTTCTGTCCAGCAGGATAATCTGGTTGTTTTAAATGGATCCGGCTCTCCTGTAAAACCGCTAAGGCCTGCAGGAAGATCCACATGTTCTTTCAGTCATGCTAGCTTGGCTTGGAGGAAGGAAGACACCAAACCATTGCACTTCAGAGTCACTGGTTTTTATAATCAAATGGGGACCAGAGATCATGCCAGCTGGGTGGCTCTGCACCTACCTTTGGGCTCCTGGCCGTCGCTCTAGGGTCAGGAAGGCAGAGCCTGCAGGTTGCCCCTGTCCTGGAATTTTCTAGAGGTAGGGAGGAAGCACCAGGGACCTGAATTCCGATGTCCTGCTGAGGTGCCAGTCCCTTCCGAAGCAAGCGGCCTGCTTTGAAACATGGTACAGAATGACCCAGCTGAATGTGCCTGGCACATGACAAGGTGTTTGGATTAGTAACCACTATCCTACTGTCCTGCATTTGTGTGTACTTTTTATTCTCAGGAACTGGAGAAACCCAGGATGGTTAAGTAACTTGTTTTCTTAGCTCCTCAGTAGTGGAACCAGGATCAGAACCCAGTGCTCTTGCTCCTTGGGCCCTGGCACCCTGGAGCCCCTCCGTCCTGACCTGGACCTCCCTAAACAGCACCCGTCCTGGCTGTCTCCAGTGGGGGAGCCTGAGTCCTGCAGTCCTGGGGACCCTCCCATTTCAAGACAAAGGCACCACAGAAGTTGGGTGACTTGGCTAAGAGCTTATTGATGTAATTGTGGTGAGATGAGAACCAGATCTCATGACTGACTTGTGTAAAAGTACAGAAGAAGGTTTAGGAGGAGTCTGCATTTTCACAGAGTTTACAGTTTTGTGCAGTGTGACCGTTTCCACGGTTAGCATTACCTGCTTGGTGGTGAGGCTTCCTTTCTCCTGAACCCTGGAACTCTTTGCCGGAAGCCAGTCTGCACCTGTAGACCTCATAGTCACCACCCTCTGGGGTTAGAAGGTGATTTGCCGTAGAACCAGATTGTTGTGAGTGGTTGGTTTTATGAGTTGGGTATGGACACAGGAGCACACACATCAGAGGCTCAGGAAAACAAGGCCATTATACTCCTAGGTCCCAGAGACGCCAGGCACACCATACCACCCCCCGCTGGGCCACCCAGGGGAAGCACCAGATCAGGAGGCAAAAGACAGGAGGCAGGGGAGGAATTAGGCTGCTACCTTTGTTGGGGTTTCTAGAGGAAAAGCAGTCAGGACAGAGTGAACAATTCAGGACAGACTACATGAATAATTTGGCTTTGAGTAATAAGGATGGCCCTTAGTTGCCAGGGACCAGGTGCCCTGGGATGATCAAGGCAAAGGAACAGTGCTCCTGGGTGCAGGGACAGTGGGGCAGGCAGGGTGGAGGGTGTTGCTCCAGTTGCAGGGCGGGGAGAGGAGGGAGGGCTTTGCTAGGTCAGCTCCCGGCTCTGCTGTCCCCTAAGAGCAGCTGGCCCTGGGCGGCAGTCTCTGGAGCCAGAAGGGTCCTGGGAAGTCAGAATGTCCTGGGAGAATCACCACACCTGTGCCCAGGTGCTGAGCTCCCAGGTGTCCCGGTGCCCAGCGCTCTTGCTGGCCCCCTGCCCCCAGGAAGCCTCATCTGTGTGCACGCAGCCTTGGCAGCATCTCCCTGGGCAGCATCTCCCTGGGCCCGTCAGAGCAGCCCACTGCCACCGCCATCCCATCCCGTGCACAGCACACACTCGGTCCGGGTGGATGTGTGCAAGGAGTGTGCCCTCGTCCTGTGCCCTGGATCGGATTCCTACAGGAGCCCGCCTACTTCAGAGGCTGTGCTCAGAGAAGTCGGAAGACACGCCCCTCCGTGACCTGCCTTTGGTCACCGGACCCTCCAATGCACGTGCCCGTGCCCGGCGGTTGGGAGCGCTGGTGTGGGTTTGGGGGAGATGAGCCGTACCGTGTGCGCCCTGGCCGGGCGCGGGACTTCGGGTGGCGTGGCGGTCTTGCTGGTCGCTGCAGGCCGCATGCAGGTGCACAGCTCGTGTGCTGGTGGCCCGGGCCTCCCCTCCGGTGCTGGATGCAGCGCTCGCCCTGAGCAGGCGCTCCCGGTCCGGCCCACTCATCCCTCCGCAGACGTGGGGCAAGTCCCTGCTCCCTGAGGATGCGCGGGGGGGCCGGGCCTTGCGGCCGTGGGGCGTGCAGGTGGAGGTCAGGCCTGCAGGGCCCTGTTGCACCTGGTCCTGGGCTCCCCTCCTCGTGCCGGGTTCCCTCCCCGAAGTCTGACGTGGGGAGGGTCGGGGGCCGCCGTTTGGCAAACACTTCCAGACTTCCGAAGATGTGACCATTTGAGCCCCATTGGAGGTGCACGCGGACGCCAGCTCGTGTCTTGAGCGTGTGCTGCGCGCGGCCCGGCCCTGGGGTTCGGGGTGGCGGGGCTCCCGGAGCCGCCGTCCGCAGTCTGAGTGTTTCGAGACACAAAACTGACGGAGTGTTGGAGCCGGAGCCGAGGTCCTTGGCCTTGTCCACGGCGCTTCCTCTGGTGGAGCCGGCGTCGGGGATAGGCGGGGACCAGGGACGCCGGCTGGGGGGGGCACAGGGGCGCAGGGGAGGACCCTGGGGCACAGGGGTGGGGGCGAGGGGTTTCCCGGGAAGGGAAGGTTCGGTAGGGCTGGAGCGTGGCGGGGGCGGGGGGGCAGCACGGCCCCGGAGACCTTGTTCCCATCCTGTCCCACTGACTAGCATAAGCCGCCCGACCGCCACCTCCCAATGCGGAGGGGGATCGTCTTCAACGTGCTGGCGGTCGGACCTGAAGTTCTTGGGTCCCCAAGCGTTGTCACCCCTAAGGGGGTAGGAAACGGGTTGTTGTGAAAGGAAATATTTTGTGTTTCTGGGCAATGATAGGATGGGACTTCTGTTTCCACACTGTATGGGTAGAAGTCAGTCGAACTTATGTTTTGAGTCTGTCCGTGATGCCTTCCGTGCCTGCAGGCAGCCCTGGGCAGCACTGAGGGACTGGAGTGCGGAGACGGTGCTGATGAGCTCTGCCGACGGCCCGAGGGTTCAGTATGTCGTTCTGTCTTTACATACGCTGTGTAGGGGATGGTTTTCGTGGTTGGAAGTACAATCGCTGGAAGAAGGTGCAGCCCGGGGCTGGGGCTTAGCAGGGAGCTGTGGGCAGGGCCCTGCAGGGAGCGGTAAGCCCTGGCGTCTGGGGATGGGCACGCTCGGTGGCCTTGCCGTCCTCCGAGCCCGAGTGGCAGGTTAACAGACGGGAACCGGGACCGAGGCTTTCCTGGGGTGTCAGGCCCTGATGGTGACAGGTGACTGTCCTCATGCCGAGCTGTGAACACCTGCCGTGTGCCAGGCTTTGTTGCAGCCCCACCACCGCCGCAGACGGTGGAGGCAAGCTGTGGGACGGGGGGGTGTGGGGGGCCTGTGACGCGCGGATGGGCCACAGCACGGCCCCGTGCACGGAGCTTGGCCCTGCAGACCACGGACGACCTGGGCAGTGTTCTCATCTCGCAATCCAGGGGCTTCGAGAAGCACTTAGAGAGCAGCCCCCGAGCGACATCCGAGTGTGTGCGGCGCCGTGGGGCATGTGCACAGTGCGAGTCCCAGGCGGCCCCAGGACGGGGCCTCGTCCTCTCTTGTCCTCCGGGGGCCGGCGGGTGTTTCCTTGCTGTGTCTGTGGGTCTTCAAGCGTGGTGAAGAAGCTTTAAAAACCCTGTTTACAGGGTTGTGTGCTCGCTTCTGCTTCGTCAACGCAGAGTGACCTGTCTGTTCTTTCCCCAGATTGCAGACGGATACATGAAGGCCCGAGGGGCACCTGCACCGCCTCCACTTCCTTGGACCGGCCGCCGCGTGGGCCCAAAGCCCGGTGTTGGCCCTGGGACGCCGTTAATGTAATAAATTGAGGACAATGACTCCTATGAGTGATGGGGGGGCATCAGAAAGCATCTTCGACCTGGACTACACGTCCTGGAAGATCCGCTCCACGCTGGCGGTGGCTGGCTTCGTCTTCTACCTTGGAGTCTTTGTGGTCTGCCACCAGCTCTCGTCCTCCCTGAACGCCACCTACCGCTCTCTGGTGGCCAGAGAGAAGGTCTTCTGGAACCTGGCGGCCACGCGCGCCGTCTTCGGCGTTCAGAGCACTGCTGCGGGCCTGTGGGCCTTGCTGGTGGACCCCGTGCTGCACGCCGACAAGGCGCGCGGCCAGCAGAACTGGTGCTGGTTTCACATCGCAACGGCAACTGGATTCTTTTTTTTTGAGAACGTAGCAGTTCACCTGTCCAATGTGCTCTTCCGGACATTTGACTTGTTTTTGGCCATCCACCATCTCTTCGCCTTTCTGGGATTTCTTGGCTCCGTGGTCAACCTTGGAGCCGGCCACTATCTGGCTATGAGCACGCTGCTTCTGGAGGCGAGCACTCCCTTCACCTGCATTTCCTGGATGCTCCTAAAGGTGAGTGTTTCTCACAGGGCGTGGGGCGTCCTTTGCAGCGTCTGCACACGTCAGCCCAAGCCGGGGAGCTGTGGAGCCATCCTGTCTTGTGCCTATACAGCCGCTTTGTTCTGCATACGCTGTACGCTCACCACCAGGTAAACCGCAGCACACAGACTTCTTCAGTTCCATGTTCTGAATTTTAAATCTTACTGGCTTCTAGCTCCACAGCAAAACAAGACTCAGTGGACCTTAGGACTCTGTCAATAGAATTTTATAAGCCCCAGAAAACGTGATTCTGTTTTTCTTTTTTTTTAAGATTTTAGTTATTTATTCATGAGACACACAGAGAGAGGCAGAGACACAGGGAGAGGGAGAAGCAGGCTCCATGCAGGGAGCCTGAGGTGGGACTAGATCCCAGGTCTCCAGGATCACGCCCTGGGCTGAAGGCGGCGCTAAACTGCTGGGCCACCGGGGCTGCCCGTGATCTACCCTCTTAACCAGTTTTTAAGCATACGTGACGTCACTGTGGACAGCGGGCCCAGTGTTGTCCAGCAGAGCCCTCGAGTGTGTCCTCCGTGCTTGGTGGGAACTCCGTGCCTGGTGATGAGCACCTCCCGCCGCCCCTGCCTCCAGCCCTGAGCAGCCGCCACTCCACACCGTTCTGTGAATTTAATTTAGATCCAGAAGCAGAAGCACGCCGTGTTTGCTTTCTGCAGCTGGCTCACCCCTCTGAGCTCCGTGCCTCAAGGCTCCTGCACATTGTGTGCTGTGGAATCTCCTGGGGCTGAGTGGTTTTGCGTGGTGTGCGCACCACGCTGTGTCTGCTCGTCCGCCGTGGGCACCCAGGTTGCGTGCACATCTTAGCCGCTGTGAAGAGCAAGCGTTGCAGTGAACGTGGGAGGTGCTGACAACCCTTCGAGATCCTGATTTCAGTTATTTTGGAAGAGTGTTCAGAAGTGGGATTACCGGATGATGTGGTAGTTCTGTTTTAGAAAAGAAAACCTCCGTGCTGTTGCGCACAGTGGCTGCCCCATGTCCTCTTCCCACCGGGATCGTGCAAGGGGCTCGCGCACACGGGTCCCTTGGTTGTTGGTTGTAGCCATCGTGACAGCCTTGCGGTGGTCTCAGGGTGGTTTGGGTTCGCATCTGCCAGGCGATCAGGGATCTCAGACACAGTGGTGAGCCGTCTCCCTGTCTTCTCTGGAAAACTGCTCACGTCCTTGCGCCATGTTTGAATCCGTTTTCTTTCCACCCTCGAGTTGTTCTTTATGTACGTTGGAGTGGCGTCTGATGCTGGTCACGTGGTCTGCCGGTGCCTTGCCCCACTGGAGCTTTGCTGTAAAGAAGCTTCTTAGCTTTGCGCAGCCCCAGTTGTTTATTTTTATCTCTGTTGCCTGTGCTCTTGCTGTCGGAGCAATCATTGCCAAGACGGGAGTTGTGAAGTTTTTTCCCTGTGTTTTATTCCCGAAGTGTTAGTTTTGGATCTTCTGTGTCAGCCTTCACATTCTGACTTGACTTTTGTGTCTGGTGTTGGAACATGGTCTGTTTTCGGACCTTTGCACATGGCTGTGTGGTTTCCCAGCACCACCTGTGGGAGGGACTGTCTTTTCCTTGCTGTGGGTTCTTGGCCCCTTGGGCAGGCCAGTTGGGTGTACCTGGTGGGTTTATTTCTGGACTCCATGTTCCGTTCCATCGGGCTCCATGTCAGTCTTCCCCCACGCCATACGGTTTTGAGAAGCTTTGTAATACAGTCTGAAATCAGGAAGTGTGACGCCTGCATGGATTCTTCTTTCTCAAGGTTGAGATGACTGTTTGTGGTCTTTTGTGGTTTCCTTGGGACTTATTTTAAAAACATCTTCTATCTCTGTTAAAATTCTCACTTTGCTCATGCACTGTCCTCGTGATCTCCGTGGCTGGCATCTTTGTGACCATTGCGGGTGCATGTCTGTCAGATAAATCATTTGACTCCATTTCCTTAGGATCTGCCTTTGGAGACTTGCCTTGTTCCTTCTCCTGGACCACTTGTGCCCTTGCTGTCCGTGCATCACACAGAGTGGGCACTTCCCGCAGGCCCCCCACACAGTCCTCACGCAGGAGCTGACCCCCTGGCCGGTGTGGCCAGGGGTTCTGGGGTCTCTGCCGGACCTCCCACGGGGAAGAGCAGGCCGTATGCAGTCTGCTCCCTGGTGTGGAGCTGGCGTGGGGGGCGGAAGCTACGGGGCCTACCAGCCCAGCCATCACCTCTTCTCCCCACGCAGCCAGACTCTGCAGGACCCATCAGAAGTCCAGGACTGGCAAGACTGAGGCCAGCCCTCTGCAAGGGCAGAATCAGGGTGCTTGTGGGGAGAGAGGGTCCAGCCTCCTGCCCCCCGTCTTCTGACCTCGTGTTGTTTTCTTAGGTTCATGTTTCTGAATAGGTTTGTCTTACTACTGATTAGAGGCATCAGGACCTACCCTCATTATCTGTGTAGTATTTGTATCCTTTTTGTTTTTGAAAGACGTATGTCTTCTAAATACAATCTTGATTCTCATTTTGATACGAAAATGTTTAAGTTAGGCTCCTGAAAATTATATTTTTATATATACATTTTTAAGATTTTATTTATTTGAGCAGCCCGGGTGGCTCAGCGGTTTAGCGCCGCCTTCAGCCCAGGGCCTGATCCTGGAGACCTAGGATCGAGTCCCGCATTGGGCTCCCTGCATGGAGCCTGCTTCTTCCTCTGCCTGTGTCTCTGCCTCTCTCTCTGTATCTCTTATGAATAAAAAAAAAAAAAAAAAGATTTTATTTATTTATTCATGAGAGATACAGAGAGGGAGAGGCAGGCTCCATGCAGGGAGCCCAAAGTGGGACTTGATCCTAGGACCCCAGGGTCACGCCCTGAGCCACCCAGGTGCCCCAAGAATTATATTTTTAGCAGAGAGTTTTTTTTTTAATAATAAATTTTTTATTGGTGTTCAATTTGCCAACATACAGAATAACACCCAGTAGCAGAGAATTCTTGCCATCTTTTCTGGCATACTGTTCACAGGATATTTTATGTGAAACATGAAATACTGCTTTTTGTTTCATAAATGTCTGATGGAGTCACCACAAAGGGGTCAGGTGACGGGCACTCCTGTAATGCTGTGGGAAGCTTCGGGAGAAAATCATGAAGTGAGAAGAATCATCAGTGCCTTTGGGTCAACAGGGTAAATAGTGTGAGAACGTGGGAAGTGGATTACCAGTGTCCATGGGGCTGACTGTCGGCCCATAGCAAAAATCTGTGGAGCACCTAGAAGGCGGCAGGCATTGGTACCGTCCCCTAGGGCCACCCCTTCCTGGTACTGCAGGAGGCCTTGTGAGTGTGGGGACAGGTACAGGCTGCCCTGGGCAGCTCGGGGAGTGCTGTGGCTGGCAGGTGAACCAGGGCCAGTGTGCTGGGGAGCTGCCGGCTGCTGCTCAGTTAAGCACCTGGAGAGATCGTGGGGATTGCAGGGTTTGGAGATGGTGTCAGATCCTCAGGCAGGAATGATTTGGGAGAAGGTTGGAAATCATTAATGGAGTAGAAGGTCAATCCAGGCAATGTCTAAACGATCATCTCGGCTGCTGGTCCAGGTATGGGTCGTTTTTGATAAGATGCAGAGACTTGGGAGTCGCCTGCATACTGTGCACCTGCGGGTCCTCCTCATGCCCTTGGCTTTTCAGTTCTCTCCTTGTGGGGGCATCGTCTCCACGAGACGGGCTTCCCGAGGATGGAGAGCAGGGGCTGAGACCTCCCTGTGTTCTCAGGCCATGAGCACAGCTCCAGCGTTGTGTTCGGGTGTGGATGGAGGGCCAACAGAAGGCTGTGTCCACATCCACATGCAGAAGAATGAAACTAGACCACTCTCTTGCACCAGACACAAAGATAAACTCAAAATGGATGAAAGATCTAAATGTGAGACAAGATTCCATCAAAATCCTAGAGGAGAACACAGGCAACACCCTTTTTTAACTCGGCCACAGTAACTTCTTGCAAGATACATCCACGAAGGCAAAAGAAACAAAAGCAAAAATGAACTATTGGGACTTCATCAAGATAAGAAGCTTTTGCACAGCAAAGGATACAGTCAACAGAACTAAAAGACAACCTACAGAATGGAGAAGATATTTGCAAATGACCTATCAGATAAAGGGCTAGTTTCCAAGATCTATAAAGAACTTATTAAACTCAACACCAAAGAAACAAACAATCCAGTCATGAAATGGGCAAAAGACATGAAGAGAAATCTCACAGAGGAAGACACAGACATGGCCAACATGCACATGAGAAAATGCTCCGCATCACTGGCCATCAGGGAAATACAAATCAAAACCACCATGAGATCCCGCCTCACACCAGTGAGAATGGGGAAAATCAACAAGACAGGAAACCACAAATGTTGGAGATGATGTGGAGAAAAGGGAACTCTCCTGCACTGTTGGTGGGAATGTGAACTGGTGCAGCCACTCTGGATGACTGTGTGGAGGTTCCTCAAAGAGTTCAAAATAGACCTGCCCTACGACCCAGCAATTACACTGCTGGGGGTTTACCCCAAAGATACAGATGCAGGGAAACGCCGGGACACCTGCACCCAGTGTTTATAGCAGCAGCATCCACAAAAGCCACACTGTGGAAGGAGCCTCAGTGTCCATCAGCAAATGATGGATAAAGAAGCTGTGGTCTATGTATACGATGGAATATGGAATATTCCTCAGCCATTAGAAACGACAAATACCCACCATTTGCTTCAACGTGGATGGAACTGGAGTGTATTATGCTGAGTGAAGTAAGTCAATCGGAGAAGGACAAACAGTGTATGTTCTCATTCATTTGGGGAATATAAATAATAGTGAAAGGGAACAGAAGGGAAGGCAGAAGAAATGGGTGGAAATATCAGAAAGGGAGACAGAACATAAAGACTCCTAACTCTGGGAAACGAACTAGGGGTGGTGGACGGGGAGGAGGGCGGGGGGTGGGGGTGACTGGGTGGCGGGCACTGAGGGGGACACTTGACGGGATGAGCACTGGGTGTTATTCTGTATGTTGGCAAATTGAACAATAAAAAATAAATTTATTATTAAAAAAAAAAGAAGGCTGTGTCCAGCATTCCTGTCCCGACCATCCTTCTTACAGAGGAGCCTGCTCACACCATGGTCAACGGGGACCTACAGCAAACTTGCCAGACGGAAGCTGGGGCTGTAATTCACACGTTTGAGAAAATAGATGATTAGTTATCTGGAATTTTTTTTGTTTTGTAGGAATTTCTTTAAAAGAAGAAATGAAAATCTTACCTGTCTTTTTCCAGTCCGTAGTGGTGATCAGTGTTGTTTTTGTTTTTGTTTAAGATTTTATTCATTTAGGGCAGCCGGGGTGGCTCAGCGGTTTAGTGCCGCCTTCAGCCGAGGGCGTGACCTGGGGGTTCCAGGATAGAGTCCCATGTCGGGCTCCCTGCATGGAGCCTGCTTCTCCCTCTGCTTGTGTCTCTGCCTCTCTGTGTGTCTCTCATGAATGAATGAATGAATGAATGAATGAATGAATGAATGAATAAATAAATAAATATCTTTAAAAAAATATTTTATTTAGTCATGAGAGAGACACAGGCAGAGGGAGAAGCAAGCTCCAGGCAGGGAGCCCGATGTGGGACTCGATCCCAGGACCTGGGATCATGCCCTGGGCTGAAGGCAGACGCTCAACCGCTGAGCCTTCAGGCACCCCTGGTGATCAGTGTTCCACGGTTTCATGTGTATTTCTCCAGACTTGTCTGTACCGTCTGAAGCCAGGCATGGCCACGCGCCTCTTGCAGGATGCTCTGCTCTGTGTGGGAGGAGCAGGGCTGGTGGGAGGCCCAGCCTCTGGTCCTCAGCATCCTCAGGAGGAAGGGAGGCTCCAGTGGTGGGTGGGTGCAGGAAAGCGATTGGTTTTGGACTTTTCTGCTGTCCCTACAGCTTGCTGGGTGCTGTTTGTGCAGGATCGGGGGGAGGGATGTCCACATGTTCACTTCTTAGTACCATCAGGACAGTGACTGCACCAAGCCAGTGGACCCTAGCAGCACAACTGGACCCCACGTTAAGGTAGCTTAGGTCAGTTATTCTGGGTGTTTTATTCCTCGTTGTAGTTGACATACTACTAAACGTAAGTAACCACCCTCTATAACATTAAAACCTTTTAAGCTTTTACTAAAGCTTCCAGAGTCCTGCGTAGTTGGGCGTCTGGATTCAAGAATCTGCCTGGCCATCCAGGGCTGACTTGTTGAGATAGTAAAGGATGTAGATCAAGACAGCAGACATCACCATAACTAAGATGGTTTTTCTATGCAAACAGTGGCTCGTTCTTAGCATTCCCTTCATGAATGATTCTGAAATGCTGGTTAGAGTTAATAAATGCGTTGCACAGGACTCAAACCTCTAGATAAAATTCACCCACGAAAGCCTAGCCCGTAGTGTGAATGAGGTCATGAAGATTTTTGTACACGTGTGCTGTGCAGTGCTAGCCCCCGGGAGCCGGAGCTGCACAAAGCAGCATTGTCACAGACTTTGTTCCTGTCCCTGCTTAGGGCACTCGTGATGACAGTGCCCGGGTTATGCCAAAGAACACTCAGTTCTCCAGCTCTGAGCTTTCTGAACTCAACATCTTTACTATATGAGTTCACATTCATGATAGGAACATTAATATTTTAGCAGTGAGGGAATGATGGAAAAGAGCCCTTTGTTCTGTGAATTTTGGAGAATGGCAACGTGGGACGCAGTCCGTGCCGCTAAACGTGATGGAGAGGTGGCCTCCAGGTGTCCTTGGCTACCATGGAGGACACACTTTGTTCCCCAGGAGCAATCTGACATTGAAAATGTCAGACTTCCACGTTTCTGTGCTTGAGAAATGTGTGCTTGTGGCCCTACTCGTACAATCCCACGGAAGATACCCACTGTCATGAGTAGTAATCAAGCACTCTGCCAGCTGCAGGCGGGGACTTGGGAGGAAACACGGATGATGGACCAAGCTCTGGAGGTGGAAGTCTGTACTGGCATATGTATGTGTTGTTCCCTTGGGAAACAGAGTGTGGCCGAGTCCAGAGGAGCTTGCACAGGGGAGCATAGCCCATGCAGCTGGGATCGGGTGTCCCCACCTGCGTGTGTCCAGGCTCCACCTGGTGCTGCCAGTGTGTGTCCAGGGAGGGCACACAGCATGCATGGCCAAAGCCAAATGCTGCCCATTGCCACCTCTGGACCTGGTGATGGGGCCACTTGGCAGGGACCACCCTGTTTCTCAGCAGATTGGGGCAGGCTACAGTGCTGGGACACTTGGTCCCTACTGATAGAGGACTGACTGCAGTTGTAGCTTCTCCTCCAGACAGCCAGGAGCCTCTCAGAACTGGAGCCTCACCCTCTGGTTTTACAGACAAGTTAGCAGACGCATTTGGTTTTATCTTCCTGTCACTTTGCCATCAGGATGATGAACACACATTCTCCTGGTCTTAACTTCTCGCCTGTGCATGTCTCAGGCCCCTGTAGTGTGGAGGTGCTACACTTGTTTCAGATTTGTGCCTCCTTGGCTCCCACTCCTGCATGTCGAGGTCCCCGGGAAGCATGTGGCTATGATCCACCTTGAGTGGCACCAGACACAGGCCTGTCGTTCTGTTTGCTCCGGGGTTGGAGCAAACTAAGTGCTCAGTGAGTTTGTGAAAGGCTGCTCGTGTGGTTTGAAGACGGCACATGCTGCACGAGCAGAGCAGCGTCCAGCCCTGGAGACTCTGGTAGGGAGGCTGCCGGCAGAAGGCCTGAGGCCCAGCAGCCGGGAGTGCCGGGTGCCCAGAGGAGGAGAGCCCCGCTGGAGCCTCCACGGGGCTTTCCGTCTGCCCTTCTGCCCTTCTGTCTCCTGGTCTCACGTCCATGCCTTCCATGCTCGTTAATCAGCTGCAGCATTTCATGTTTAAACTCTGCCAGAAGAAATAGATGCTGCTTTGGGGTGTTATTGAGGCCTACCTGAATCATCAACAGACTAGAAAAAGGCACGCACGGGTGTGTCTGCGCTAAAAGAAGTAGACCATCGGATGTTTGGTGAGGTTATTTTTGAGCAAGTTCACAGTATTTCAGACAACAAGGAAGTTCCTTGTTTTTCTTAGTTTATTTTTCCGAAGTCATCAATTCATAGATTCTCGTTTTCTTTTGTCAGAGCTGTGTGGACACATTTCATGACATGTGAGATTAGGATTCCTTTCCTGTTTTTAACAACCCCCTCTCGGGAGTTGGTTTGCTGTGGCCCCTTCAGGGTTCAGCATATGGGACTCAGGCAGAGTTGGTTCCCTTTCCTGAGATCACACTCTGTTGCCTGCTCGCAGAGTTTTCCTTCTGCAAAAGCAAGACCCTGTCCCACCCTGGGAGGGGGGCCACCTGCGGCTCGGAGCTCCCGAGGAAGATACTCTGTAGCTTGGGTTCAGCAGAGACCAGGTTGCAGAGACTGATGTGGGAGGTCTGAGGGGGGCTGGGATGTGGTGGTGCTGGAGGTCCTGGTGCTGGAGTGACCCGGTGCTCACCGTCCGGGGCCCAACCGTCCTGGGCCCGACCATCTTGGTGCCAGACGTCCTGGTGCTGGTGAGGTCCCACCTTGGTGTCCAGGATCTGATGAACCACCTTCAAGTTCTCTGTTCAGTGTTGGCTACAACTACTGGAAACTAGTTTTAGTGTAAATTTAGAGTCATTTGAAGGAAAGTCCATTTTTGCCTGTGTCCATGGGCTCCTGGGGAAAAAGTATCACACATCAAAGCAGGAAACCTTAGTCGTGGTCAGCATCTGTCCTCTCAGCAATTCCTGTCCCCGAGCTGCCGGATGGGAGCCTGATGTGACAGTCAATACGTGGGGGTCAGAGTGACATAGAGAGACTGGAGTGAGATTGGAGGGGAGATGGGACTTTGCTCTTGGGAGAAACAGGAGGAGCCGGTGGGACTGGTGAGGACACTGCCCACTCTGGGCGCCAGTGCTGCCTCAGTGGGCGGTCTCCTGCCCCCATGAAGCCTCAGGGAGAAGAGAGCTGGGCTGTGTTGGGTCGGGTGGATGAAGGCGGTAAGTCTTCCTCAAAGTGAAGAGTGAGTGTTGATGGTCATGCGTTGAGCCTCATGTGTTCTGTTTGCAGGCTGGCTGGTCCGAGTCTCTGTTCTGGAAGCTGAACCAGTGGCTGATGATCCACATGTTCCACTGCCGCATGGTGCTGACCTACCACATGTGGTGGGTGTGCTTCTGGCACTGGGACGGGCTGGTCAGCAGCCTGTACCTGCCACACCTGGCACTGTTCCTCGTCGGGCTGGGCCTCCTCACGCTCGTCATCAATCCCTACTGGACCCATAAGAAGACGCAGCAGCTTCTCAATCCAGTGGATTGGAACTTCGCGCAGCCGGCACCCAGAAGCAGCCGGCCAGCTGGGGCCAACGGTCAGGTGCTACAAAAGAAGGGACAGTAGCCACCGGGAGCCTGGGACCGCAGAGCGCGGCGGCCTGTGCGCGTGGGCTCCTGCAGGCGAGGCCCTGAGTGCTCTGTCCAGGATGGTCTCTAAGTCGGACCAACCGTGTCCTTCGTGTGAATTTCTAAGTAGCCGCCAAGTGTGTCTCAAGCCTTGGTTTGCCTCTGGGGGCTGGGGGGCGGGTCTTTGCCATCACAAGTCTGCTGTCCACTGTGCTTTGTTCCTGCACGCCTCAGCGTGTGGGGCCCTGAGGAGCACCACAGAGGGGATCCTGGGCAGACGCCAGGCCACCTGCCCGGGAGGAGGGGAGCGCCCTCTCTGGGATGCTGTGGTGGCCGCCAGCCTGCTCTTTCCCGTCACACGGTCAGCGTGCGGGGGAGCTTGTCCAGTCATGCTGTCCTTCCTCGTGGGGCAGAACTGCCCCAAGCTACAAGGCGGTCCCATCCGTGCCCCCCCCCCCGGAGTGTCCCGTGTGACGCGTGCAGTGCCGTGTGCAGCAGTGCATCTGGTGGGGGCACATGCAGACAGCTAGGGGGACGCACGGCCCCGGACCGGACCCAGCCCGACCAGAGTGTTCGTGACGGCGAGGCCCATGGGCTTCATGGGTCAGGGGACCTGTGGGAAAACAAGAGGTGTGTGTTCATACGCTATGGCTCACTTGGCAAAATAAGGTAGAAAAGTTTTGGTGATTGGATTTTTCTGGACCAAAGGACCATTTTTAAAAGACTGAGTCGCTGTTGGGCTTCCCAAGCAGACCCTTGTTCTGTGGCTGGTGTTTCTGTGGGCTTCACGCCCAGGCAGTGGCCGCTTCCCGCGGTGCTCCAAGGGGCTCGGCGGCAGGGCTTGCGGTCCTGGCTTGCTCTGCAGCAGCCCTTGCTGGGTGCCTAATAGGGGTGGGGGGGTGGGGGTGCATCCCGAGGCGGTTGCCTTCGCCACGCCGCGCCTCGTGGAAGTCACAGCCACCTGGCATGTATGCTGGGTGACACAGGCACCCCCTTCCAAAGGCTCGCTGAGGCCTTTCTGCCTTTCCCAGAGACCTGTGTGTGTACAGTCACGTGTTCCAGGGAAGGGAGCACCCTCCATGGGTTTCCATCACGCAGCGAGAACAGGCACAGAGTAGGTCTGCAGAGTGCTGCAGTGAGAACCTTAGGGGAGCAGGGGTCATTTCGGCTCACGACCTGTGGGCTGCGGGGGGTGGGGGGGAGACCCGCACAGTTTTATTCTAGCCATGATCATGCAATTAAAACTAAAAGTTTATTTTTTATTTAAATCCCCTTTCATGTGTTTGCAAAAAACACGTGTTTATTGGTCACAGAGATGCCTGACTTGTGCTTGTCACAGAACACGGAGCTCTCACAGTGATGTGTCTTCCGTGCTGCTGCTTAGACTTTATTGATCATGCTTAGTTACAGATGTGCAATACCTATTTATCTCCCCGTAAGAAGTCATTTAGATCTCAGCCATACCCAGTGTGCCGCGTCCCTGCCAGGACTGCTAGCAGGAGACCCTGCGGCCTGTAGTCCTCCCCAATCTCGTGGAACAGAGATGGCTGGCATTTCTGATGGGATGGAAATGTAATAAAATAGTTTATATTTATGGACCCAGAAGGATGTCTGTTGTCATCTCTCTGTACCGTTCGTGTCTGCGAGTCTTCTGTATGTTGGAGATACTGATCTGATAATCGGTCTCTGCGTTCAAAATTCAGTTGAAGGTAGGTCCTATTTAGCTTGAGTTTTATCTGAACTACACCAGGACCGTGACCCTTCCAGGGCTCACCCTTGACGCCCTGTGTCTCTGTGGAGATGTGGCTTTCGTGCAGGGAGAGGGAAGGGCCAGAGAACACATGAGCTCGCCCACCTGCTCCCTAGGGCTCCCAGTGACCCGGGGCTTCCCATGACGAGCAGGAGAGCAATCACCTTTCTGCAGAAAAGGCTCTTTGAACCCTTCTGATCCAGGACCCAGTGCCTGTCTTCCCGGACACTGGTATCGCCCAGATTGGATGGTGCCTCCCGGGCTCTGCTCCCAGCCCTGTCCATCCGCATTCCTGTGGCCCCGCAGGCTGGGAGGCTGTGCCGCTCCTCCGTCTCTGCCTGCAGGCCCCAGGGTCCCCCTCCAAGCACCCCCGTAGCTAAGGACCGCGGCGCTGTGCCGGGGCACAGCTGCTTCCACTCATGTGGGGAGCCCAGGGCTCAGAGGTGGTGACCGGGCTGGGATGGGATGCAGTCCCGCACATACGTGGACTTGTTCCTCTGGCGTCCGAGCTGAGGCTCCTCCAAGTACAGTCAGCTCAGAATGTAGGAGAAGCCCTGCCGACCCTCGCTGGCTGATCTCGCAACATCCATACACACAGACGATCGAGTCAGTGAGGGCGAGGTTGGTGTCCATCCGTCCGTGTGTCTGCAGTGCCTGGCGTGGACCAGCTGTCCAGCCGCAGTGAGGGAGGGATGGAGTAGACGGGCCCTGTGTGGCCGTGGGCAGGGTCCCGCTGGAGAGCTGGCGCGCACCTGCTGACGGAGCATCCAGGACGAGGCAGGGCTGAGAGCTGGCCAGGTGCCTGGCAAGGCCAGGGGCCACGGGTGACGTCCTTGGTGGGGAACGGGAGTCACTGCTCAGCTGCAGGAGGGTCCCGTGACAGGGCTGGGGGCATCCGTCAGGGTCTGCGAGCCTTGTCTGCCCAGGAGGCGTGGACATGGATGTGTCAGGCCGCGTGGTGGTTTGCTGAAACCTTGTAATGTGTCGAAGTGCTGCAAGGCAGCCCAGCTTCCCTGCACTCCTACAGGGCGGGGGGGGGGGCTCACTCTCCTCCACGCGGTCCAACCTGGGGGCCACGTGTGAGCACAGACAGGAGCAGGGGGGGCCCATCTCCCTCTCCTCCACATGGTGCGACCTGGGGGCCGTGTGTACCTCGGCTCCGTGCAGACCCAGTGGTCGTGTGTAGCCCTTGCTCAGGCTGGCACGGACTCTGCACCAGGAGCAAGTCGTCACAGATGCAGGGGACCCCTCCCTGGCCCCGAGCTTCAGCAGGAAGGACGCACAACCCCTCACGGAGGAGGCGGTGCAGGGGCGAGGGGGGCCGGGCCTTGAGTCAGAGGGGCTGCCCCTGGGGCCGGGGATCAGAACACCTCAGTCCTCAGGGCTCTCGAACCGTGCCTATGTCCTGCCCACACCCCGCTGCCCGTTCTGAGCCGACTTCCCTTGAGCTGCCGTGACAGATGGGGGCAGGCGCAGGTTCTGAAAGTTACTGTGCAGCAGCCGCGGCTGCAGGCGCTCGGAGCCCATGCACACCGGCCAGGGCCCGCCACTGCCGCCAGACTGATGCCAGGAGTGAGGGTCTCGACCCTCCGGGAGGTAAGGAAACAGAAACGACGCCCAAACTGTCTCATGTCATGTCACCTCATGTTTACTAAATTTGCTTTGCTTTAACAGGAGAGCTTACGGATTCAGTAATTCTCTTTTTAAACGACTCTTCCCTTTTGTCCGGAAGTAGAATATCCATGGTGCGTGTCGCCTTGTGTCATCTTGTCTGGAATACAGCGAAGGGAATCCGGGAATCTGGTCTTTCCTCTAATGACCTGGAACACAGAATGTTTGGAATCGACTCCAGGCTATGCAGAGCCTGCCCATCTCCTTTTAGGATGGCCGAGCACCCGCGTGTGCAGGAGGGAACGTCCACACTCCTCCTTCTGGAGATGCCTGGAGCCCAGAGCACGTCCGGGTCACGGTGACAGCGCCCCACGCGACGACTCCCCTGGCCTGTGCCCTGGGAGCCCCGCGAGGGCACCCCAGGCCTCGATCACCGCGGCCCCCTGCCCTTCTGTGTCGTGCGCCCATCTGTGTGGCAGTGCCACACCTTCCCCGACACCGGCCTCCCTCCCCCTCCCAGGGCCCACCACACACGGGCCGTGCCAGCGCCGCCGCAGCCGTCGAGGGCAGCCAGGGCTTGATGGAGGCACGTGGCCTTCCACTACCCCACGTTCATGCTGCAGCCGCAGAGCAGCAGAAGGAGTCCAAAAATTAGCCCAGAGTTAGAATCCTCAGGTTTTAAATGCCAGCACCTTCAATCTCCAAATTCCCTGATGACATTTCACACACAAAACGTTAACAGTACCTGGGAGCTTTCTCAGTGGCAGAGATCTATAAAAGGCAAAACCACCGTAGTTAGATGGCCCGCTGCAGCCACAGTTCCTTTGGTTTAGATGAGGATAACCCTTAGTTCTTACCTCGGAAATTCCTGAACCTGTTTGGTCCACCCCAGAGATTTTATTTCTCCACGATACAAATGCAGAGTGCAGGGTGCAGGGGCACAGAAGCGATCAGTGTAGATAGCCAAGTTCAGGGAGCTGGAGGCGCACCACACCAGGGCTCCCCCCGTAAACGTCAGGGAGTTGCAGGAGTATCTCAGATCACTTAGTAAAGTTTGGAAAAATAGCTCCCTCAGCAAAAGTGATTTTCTGCGCTTTAATATGGAGGCAGTTACAGGGACCGGTTGGCCATGTCCCTCAATCAGGGCATCTCCTTCCCAGAGGAAGACCGGCCTCAGAGCAGATGCCCTTTGCCCCTTTTCTGCCTTCTGTTGACTGGAGCCACGGTCCTGGCTCTACAGGTGCACCTGCCCTCGTTGCAAAGGGGACAGGCGAGGACCACAGTCGGCGGGGCACAAGGATCACGTGCCAGGTGCGACAGACCACGTGAGCCCCAGAGCCACCATCCCGACAGCAGGTTCACTCGAGAGACCCTGTGTTCAGCCCACGTGTGTTTCTGGTCCTCTGTCAGGGGCTCAGGGGAAGAGGTGTAATTAGCTCCCAGGGGAACACATTTCCAATGTGAGACTAGACCTTCTCAGAATCATACGTGCTGATGAGAGGGGACACCCCGGGGCCGTGGACCACACCCTCATCTCAAAGCCACGGCCCCAGAGGCTTCAGCATTTAGCGTGTGTTACTAGTTCGCTTTTGTCTGTTTATAACTTTTTAGTTTGCACTAATTTCAGACTTAGGAACAGCTGGGAAAAGTGTTTCTCATCCCTACTTCCTACTTCACTGCACATTGCTTTACCCCTGATGCTGTGGGTGTACGTCCTCCAAATTGGGTCTCTGAAGGGCTCACAGTAGAGACCAACCCAAGAAACATAACACAGTCAACGCTTTTTACAGGATGTACCATTTCCCCCTGGCTTTGACAGCTGTCCCCACACACCCTCACCTGCCACACCTCCTGGCCAAGATGCAGCCCAGGGCCACAGCTCTGCTTTGAGGAGTGACAGCCAATTATGCTATAGAACATCCCTCAGTGTGGGTTGGTCTGATGTGTTGTCAGGATTGGGTTCAGGTTACACAATTTTGGCTGGAAAACAAGTTAATGTTGCTGTCTTTCTTGGGGTATCAGGTCCGGAGGCACTAGGCTGCCTCTTACTGGTAGCATTAATTTTGGTCACCAGATTGGAGTGTAGTCTGGTTTCTCCACTGTACAGTTAGCATATTCTCTCTCTCTCTCTTTTTAAAAATATGTTATTTATTTATTCATGAGAGACACAGAGAGAGGTAGAGACACAGGCAGAGGGAGGAGCAGGCTCCCTCTGGGGAGCCAAGTGTGGCACTCGATCCCAGGACCCCAGGGTCACGCCCTGAGCCGAAGGCAGATGCTCAACTGCTGATCACCCAGGTGCTCCAGCATTTTCTCTTTGTCATAAGAGGTCCTGTGTGTGGAAATGGATTGGGACCCTGTAAGCCCTGTGCCTCTACAGCACTGCCTCTTGCTCTGGATTTGCTACCTGCTGATGCTCAGTACTGGTTGTCCCCGAATCTGCTCTTACTGTGATGGTTACCAACTGTTACTCTTCGGACAGCATCATCCCTTCTGTGTTCCTTAGCTGGAAATCTGTTGTAAAAAAGAGCCTTACCTCTCCCCGTGCTGTTTGTTGTCCATACGGGTTCATAGATTCTTAATGCTATGACTTTGTTTACAAGAGCTTCCAACTCACTGAACGTTCCTTGTACGTTCTGAGACTCAGATTGCCCCAGATTTGTGAGGTGGCACCTGCTCAGGCTGGCCCCAGTGTCCTTTCGTTTGCCCTATGATTGCTTTTCATCACTTCCTTATTTTCTGTTGCAACAGGATGTCCCTTCTCTCTAGGGTCCCTGTATTGGATTTAGCTATCTCTCCAAGGAGCCTGGCTCTTTGTAGTGAGGGCTGGTACTTAGAAATCAAGAGATGAGATACGCTCATTGCGTGTAGGCCATCGTGACTTCTAGACCCTTCTGCCTTCAGCATCAGCCCCGTCCCCTGTCTTGTGCATTGGGAGCTGCCTCACGGCATCATCAGTGAATTATACGTTGCTCAGACTTTCCATTTATACAAAACAGGTTCAGAGTCTCTTCGCCTGTACAACTGCCAACACTAAACCTCCCCCAGAAGGATGTGCAGTTTGCAGGATGCTTCTCTTGAGCCTGAGGGCATCCCTGGATGCTGGCTGAATCCAGCCCACCTCCCCGTGAGATAATTGGGTTAGTTATTTGAAGGACAGTTGGGTCCATTGGTTTGTGTGTGCATTAGTTTTTGAATTTTCTCAAATCCTTGGTAGTTTGATTTTGGCTTTTGGGTACATAGA